TAAAGGCAGAAAATGGAGCTACGTTATTGGTGGGTGCATGGCAACGAGAAAAACATGAATAAATTAGTGGAATGAAAAGCGTTCATTGATCCCTGTGGGATTTAGACTGCCGGTTTGAAAGATGAGCTTTNAATAATATGTGTGGTAAGTTTACCCGAGGAAACCCTCGAGAATATCAACCTCAAATTGTCTCGCATAGCGAAACAGAACAGACAAGACGGGCTGTATAATAATACGGATAATAATGGGAAGAAACGCTTGAAGTGTAATGTATTATATTGCTAAGCGTTGTTGCTGTTTAATGTGTGTTTAAGTTGTAATTTCTACGGTTTTCTGTTTACAGGGTCTTCGTTTTCGTAATAAGACCGGGGCTCTTCTTTTTCGTAGTACGAAAGCGAAGACCAGGTCTTAGGTCTTCGTTTTCATAACACCCCCAAAACAGCGTTAAAAGGACGTAAACGACAAAGCGGCTACGGAAAAAAGGCAAGTAGACTTCATACGTTATATTCCTCGCTTTTAATATCCTTTTTTTTCTTAAATTTTTTATAATTTTTCCTTTTTTTGACGGCCCACGCTTACGCTTAAAATTCGATCTTAATATGTTAGGTATTCCCGTTACTGACCTTTAGAGCCCAAAGTCACACACAGTACGCTTGGGCCACCTGTGGGCTATTTAGAGTCAGTTTAATTCTTCCAGAATCTTCTTCTACAGTTTTTGATCTTATCACAATAATATACGTTGAATATTGAGCTATATTCTAATTTTTTTCATTTTTTCTTTTATATAGGTTAATTTCTACAGCTATGAGCTCATAAAATTTCTTAAAATTCTTGCGCGTAACAAATAATATGGCGAATTTCCGTGCAATGATATTAATTGGTGCTCACTGAGGAAGCTAATATTCTTTAAAAAAGCGCTATTATTAAGTCTAGAATATTCTACTTAATATAACTGTAAATTTTGCTCACTATGGGATGAGCTGGATTCTGTTCAAAGACATTTGGCATATGTATTTAAAAATGGCTCTGCCACTCGACTTGGGATCTGCACTTTTAATTTTACCCTTGATATCTGATAATAAAGAAGGAAAAGATGACTGCATTTCCAGTGTTTAGACTGTTTAAATAGGCAAAAGAAAAAAAAACTTGAAAAACTACTCATAACTAGCAGAGTAATGAGAAACTAATGAAACAACAGGGAAAAACTGGGGTAGTTTTACAAATTTACACAACCCAAATATTTAGAGCACGGTATAGAAATAACCCTGAATTAATGACTTACAGAGGCTGTGCACATCTCAGTCTTGACTGAAAATCAACTGAAGTCAAGAGTCAAGCTCAAGTCGTTTGGTACAATTCCCCGTCCTCCACAAACTCCACAGCTGCTTTTTGCTTTACTTTTTCCTACCCTCGAATGACTGATTTGTTTTGATTTACACTTAGCTGGCAATGAAGTAAAAAACTGAACTACACTAAAACTTTGTCGAGGAGTACATCACCAAACAAACTAAACTAAATATGCTAAGGTTTTCTAAAAAGGTCTAAAATCACTTTCTCTTTATCCATGGCATAGGAAGTATGCAACGGAGCGACAAAAAAGGGTACAAGGAGAAAAAGTGCTTTCAATTTAATTTCTTTCATTTTTTTCTTCGTTTCCTTTCGCGTCACCCGGTCGCTTCTAACTCTACAGGCAGGAAAGCGACACTACAAACAAAGCCAAGATGACGAACACATTATGGGCAACCGCAGACACTTGGCCGGCAGTTGGATCACCTTTGGGAAAAAGAGGGTAAAAAAAATTATCAAAGACATCAACTCCAATGACGATTGACGGATTTCTTCGCTGTGTTACAAATGTTTACATGCGTAATTTCAAAGATGTTTTAGGGTTATTTTAGACCGCTGCTCTGGTTAGGTCTCGAATAGACAGGAAATGAAGGATTACTGTTTGTTGAAGGCTATCAAAAGACTGATTCTTTACCTGCCGGAACTGTAGTGTATGCGGTTGGTTCTTGTAAGCATTCGCACGTGTGCGCATTATTCATTCCATGTGCTTTTCGAAATAAAACCGAATACATGACCGGAACAAACATATTCATGAAGCAGCCTTAAATCCATTTTTATTTAATTTAAAATATAACTGATTCAGTTACAAAACCACTACTGTGTGGATGCACACCGTCTTAAATGGGATCCAAGATAACGAGACANATCAAGCGCGCAAGTTGCTTACAGCAATATTCCTAATGACAATTCAGTTTTGTTAGAAGCATTTTGCCTCTCTCTCCAAGGCCAGATACTGACACACCTCCCCTATCGCAGAAAAACTCGAACATGACATTTCACCAGGGATTATGACAGTGAACGTAGTTCCACTTGTCTTTCAGAAGCCTGGGGCGGAAGATTCGTGTTCTTGAGCATCATTTAACATAAAACCGTTTTATTACGAACAGCTGAAAAAAATTATTGAGTTTCCAAGTAAATCTAATACCAAACGCCTGTGATTTCTATTTTCAATCCAAGGGTAAAAAAGTAGAAAACCCTGTTCTTCCTTGTAGCCTATTGTTGTATTATCCTCGTTTGACAACTGAAACATTGCTGCTAATGTTTCTTTCAGATTAAGAACAGTTTGCAAATATATTTAGGTTTCTTACCTTCTTTTGTTGTTGTAAAGTTGAGGTTGCTGTCCGCATCAGTCATATTTTTCTCAGTGCCGAATTGATCTGTTATTCTGACAATTTGAATTCTACCTGGCACAACTGCATTGTTAGGATCATGAGCAGCGCAGGTTATAGTAAGCGAGGAATACTCCATTGGATAACCGATTGCGGGAATTACATCAACAACTAGTTCAGCTGAGGAGGAAAAGAGAGAGAGGAAATTTTAGGTGATACCTTCGCAAGAAAGGAAAGAATATGCAAGATTCCCCTTGTTTATGATGCAGGAAGAAAGGATGTTATTGCTTTGGGGATCCTTGTATCTCGCATTACCCACGCATTATGCTCAATTATCTTTGAGCACACAAAATAATTATATTTCAGTTTTTTAGCGAGAATTTTGCAGGTGATTTTCCTTATAAACTGTAAAAGACGATGTATGACTGGTTTGATAGCGAAAAAGGTCAATTGTAAGCAATACAATGCGCACAGTGAGCAAAGGTAATATTGCTACTGCGAATTAATGCCGGAAATATCATGAAAAATGTTGTTTTTTTAACTGGCTTAAAGACAAGCGAGTCTACAAATTTCAATGCCTCAACGGTATTTGAATTTAAGCCGCCGAGCTAGTTATCTTAAGCTTTATCTATCATTCTCCAAATGATTCACGTATAAAGCAATTCAAGGGGACTTTCCTTCTTTTCACCATTAGCTCTCCAAAGCAGAAACAATATGCTATCCACGTGAAGCGATCCGCGTGGAAAATTCAGAGACGATTCTTCAAGATCAATGATAAAGACCTTGATCTGGGAAAAATCTGGGGTACTACCTGAACAACTTCAAGGCGATGGCTACGAAAGATTAAAAAAGAAAGCAATATACAAGATTCACCTAATCTCTAATCCAAGGAGAAAGAACATTGATAATTACTGCAGTAGCAAAACCGTGCACAAGGCCATTTAAGCTTTGAACAAGTGAAGTTAATTTCGTGCAGCTGATACATAACTTTAAGGTAACTTCCTTGAGCCCAATAAGTCAGGATATTCACGCCTTTGACTAAGGCTCAAATGACCTTTCCTTTGTACCGTATCGGTTGAAATTGTGGTTACGATTTAATCATCTTCGTAACGGTTACGCAGTTGCGTTAGGTGTCGAGACCAAAATAACTGATTTAAAAGAAAGGTATTTAATCCGGCCATTTTGGAAAACTTGAGTAAAATGATAGCCTTTTTCTTTTTTGATTTGAAACTCACATAACTTTCGCGATTACAGGATCGTGGATTGACCCACGAAATCTTGATTCTCAGGTGCATTGTCCTAATGAGGGGAGTCCCATAAAATCAATCAGCTCCTACATGTGATCAATATGCAAGTTTCTCCTACAACAGGAAAAAGACTAGGAAGTGTCGAGAAGCTATTTCGTGCCATTTTCGCTTGCTCTCCTCCGTAAAAGAGAGCTTTCTCACTCGCGCGTCTGCCCGTTCGATCGCTCCTTACTCGCGCACTCCTCGACTAGAGGTCAATCTTCAGTTATCCTCCACTTTTACGCATTATAGATAATATGAAAGTTATTTGTGCACCGATCGAAAACTCACTTCCTGCTCGTAAGTTCGTC